TGTGCATATGCTGGTTAAGTTTGTTATGTCGTGTCCTGAGACGTAGGACAATGATCTGCCCATGCCGGTCAAGTAAGTGGTAGTCATCTCTGGCCAGACTGTTCACTTTTGATAAACTAGACAGCTTTTTTCTTCTCAGAGTATGTTACTGCATTCTCTGCCTGTTTACATTCTGCCCCTTTCTTAGCAAGTTTAACTGCGGTTTCGTTTCCTGGTATACCACAGTGAGATGGCACCCAATGAAGTACAGTACACATTTCGGGATGCCACCTTGCCAAGTTCAGATCTCATGTGAGGGAGTTTACCTGTCTTGAGGACTTGGAGCACCGATTAAATCTCTGGACTTGGTGGCAGTCAGAACTGGTGCTGTGTGACAGTTCGGCAGCCTGCTCTAGTGCTAGGGTCTCTGTTGTGTAGCTGGAACAGAAATTACCAGTGGGTATGTACTTTAACCGCACTGGTTGTTGATCCATCTGTGTAAGCATGTATCCACGACTGATCGGGATAGTTTTCCTGGATCATGTTAATAGCAGATGTTCGTTTTTGAAGGTCATTGGACGTTTCTCCATTTGCGAATCTATTGACTGAACTCATTATCTGTATTGTGTGGTTGACTTGCTCTCAATGTATAAGGGTATAAGGTAGGTTTAAGAGCTGTTGTTCTCGTGGGTAGATCTGCTTGATACTGTCTTCTAAGTCTTTTCCCCCGAAGGACAGAGTTGCTACGTTTGAGACCTCCCAATGCCAGGTATTATGATCTTGCATTCATTTGGTAGGACTGCATATTAATAAATATCTCCATCGGTATCATAGTTTTAGTTATCTTCTGTAGGACAGTGTCTGTATTGCAGGTATTTTCAGCATCTCTAGGGCTGGTGCAATTTTCATAGATCCTGTGATGTGTCTATTGGTTTGATTTTACACGCTATCTAACGATTGTAGATAGGAATTAGCATTGTATGACTAGGCTGTTAAATCAAACTCCAAGTGGTGTCTTATTGCACCATTACCTTTCTTTGATGCTTTCACATTCGCTACCCAACATATACCTGACTAAATTCTGTAGTGTTAACGTGTCAAACAGAAAAGTCTTGTTGGTCTGTCATCAACAAACAGGTTCTTTAGTAAGCGTCGAACAGACAAGTCTTGTTTGCGTTTCATCAACAAATAGGTTCTTTAGTAAGTGTCAAGCAGACAAGTCTTGTTGGTCTATCATCAACAAACAGGTTCTTTAGTAAATGTCAAGCAGACAAGTCTTGTTGGTCTATCATCAACAAATAGGTTCTTTAGTAAGTGTCAAGCAGACAAGTCTTGTTGGTCTATCATCAACAAATAGGTTCTTTAGTAAGTTTCAAGCAGACAAGTCTTGTTGGTCTGTCATCAACAAACAGGTTCTTTAGTAAGTGTCATGCAGACAAGTCTTGTTGGTCTGTCATCATCAAACAGGTTCTTTAGTAAGTGTCAATCAGACAAGTCTTGTTGGTCTGTCATCAACAAACAGGTTCTTTAGTAAGTGTCAAGCAGACAAGTCTTGTTGGTCTGTCATCAACAAACAGGTTCTTTAGTAAGTGTCAAGCAGACAAGTCTTGTTGGTCTATCATCAACAAATAGGTTCTTTAGTAAGTGTCAAGCAGACAAGTCTTGTTGGTCTATCATCAACAAATAGGTTCTTTAGTAAGTGTCAAGCAGACAAGTCTTGTTGGTCTATCATCAAAAAATAGTTCTTTAGTAAGTGTCAAACAGACAAGTCTTGTTGGTCTATCATCAACAAATAGGTTCTTTAGTAAGTGTCAGACAAGTCTTGTTGGTCTGTCGTCAACAAATAGATTCTTTAGAAGGTGTGAAACAGACAAATCCTGTTTGTCTTTCATCAACATCTAGATTCTTTAGTACTGAAGTGTCGAACAGACAAATCTTGCTGGTCGTTCATCGACACCTAGATTCTTTAGTACTGAAGTGTCGAACAGACACATTTTGTTGGTTTTTCATCGACACCTATGTTTTTTAGTACTAAAGTGTTAGACACACAAGTCCTGTTGGTCTGCAGTCAACACTTAGATTCTGTAGTATTAAAGTGTCAGAGAGACAAGTCCTGTCGGTCTGTCACCAAGAACTAAATTCTTTAGTAATGAAGTGCCAAACAGACAAGTCGAGCATTGAGTCCTTTTTGACATTTCACAACTGACTCCGCGTGATCCTTATACGTCAGGCTTCTATAGAACTCGCTTCTATGTGGACTCCTTTATGCCACCCACTGCATCTTCCATAGCAAGCAGGCAATACTAGGGTGAAAGTTTACTTCCTGCATTGAAAGAATACCATTTATTGATTTTGTCGAGATCGGATTCATCATCAACACCGTGTTTGTATAGACCATGTTCTAATCACCCTAGGTAACAAAGATGAAAGTTCACCATCACTTCAATGCAACTTATTATCAAACATCTCCGCGCGAGCATGCATTTTGAAATCTAGATCACAATTTATCCACTGAACGTACTCGACTCAAGCCGTCGTACTTAACCTATAGGGTTCCACAACGAAAGGTCAGGAATACATGTCTCTAGTATCACTGCCGCTGACTGGAGAGGAAGTTTTCTTCTATGTCAGGCCTTATACAAAATTGTCGACTCCCTGTGAGATTTCCAATCTGCAAACCTGCCAGTTTGAGCCCGCAAATACAGCAAAACCAAAATTATTAACAGCCTAACAACCTACCCCCCTAGCAAGTTGAAGATAAACAAGAGGACACATAGACAACTTTTGAAATCGAATGCTATAGTTACCACGCTAAGATTCGAACCTGTCGTCTCGAAACGACGACAGCACCTCATCCGGGAACACGTTTACTTCGATGAGTGAAAGAGAAGAAGGGGTAGGGAGTAGATACAAAAATAGGAAGAGGTGGGGAGATGACAATGACAATAATAATAATCAGACTAACAATAACAATAAGAGACGAAGACCGGCGACGATTAAAGAATACACAATGAAACAGTAGTTTTAACATAAAAAATATAACTCCGATGTTATTAAGTGGGATAGATAGTGCCTTCTATATGGTCAATGTATACTTTGAGTTGAGTTGTTTCAAAAACAGCACACGGAGCACTCCCATATGCACCCTGTCCCCATCTTCAGCAGCCAGCGTAGAGTTCTAATACTAATGGTACCAGTAGCAGTCAGAGTTATATGTCCGACTTGCTTTCCCATTGAACGTCGAGTTTGATCCTTCGTCACTCCTCGCTGCATCACCCGCACTAGACTGTGATGATCCATTTGCTCTTCCGAATGTTACATCTGCTCCTATGAGGCAACAACTAGGCATGACTTATCACGCATCATTATTCAACTGTTGTGCAGAGTTAATCAGTCTCTCGACCTGTTCATTTCCCAACACACCAGTTTACCAGAGTTAATCGTTCTGTCGGCATGTTCATTTCCCAACACACCAGTATACCAGAGTTAATCAGTCTGTCAGCTTGTTCATTTCCCAGCACACCAGTATACCAGAGTTAATCAGTCTGTCGGTCTGTTCATTTCCCAACATACCAGTATACCAGAGTTAATCAGTCTGTCGGCCTGTTCATTTCATAACACACCAGTATACCAGAGTTAATCAGTCTGTCGACCTGTTCATTTCCCAACACACCAGTATACCAGAGTTAATCAGTCTGTCGGTCTGTTCATTTCCCAACATACCAGTATACCAGAGTTAATCAGTCTGTCGACCTGTTCATTTCCCAACACACCAGTATACCAGAGTTAATCAGTCTGTCAGCCTGTTCATTTCCCAACACACTGGTATACCAGAGTTAATAAGTATTTTGACTTGTTCATTTCCCAACACACCAGTATACCGGAGTTAATCAGTCTGTCGACCTGTTCATTTCCCAACACACCAGTATAACAGAGTTAATCAGTCTGTCGGTCTGTTCATTTCCCAACACACCAGTATACCAGAGTTAATCAGTCTGTCGGCATGTTCATTTCCCAACACACCAGTATACCCTGAAGAAAAGATCCAGAAAGTTTATGCGTTGACTGTTCTGTATATCAAGCAATGTTTTTTTAGTCATCATCATCATCATCATTTTCACGAAGGCATATTTTCGTTGGAAAACAAATTGCCGGTACTCATCACAAATTGTAAAGAAGCCAGACTTTTTATTTTCTACAAAACTTACCCGAGCCCCAGGTGGGTCCAGCCTCAAATGGGTATGAGATAAAGTCCTGGGAAGTAAAGGCGTTGGACGTGGTGTTGACCGTATTACCCACCATTTGCCGATTGGTCTATAAAATATAAGTATAGGTCTAGCACTATGCCTAATGCGCCTAAAGACGTGTAGAAGGGTCTTTTTTTTTTACTTACCACAAAGTGTCCCAAAAATGTGGCAGTACTCACCAAAGACTCTGTGGCTAAGTCGATGTGAATGCTTCTTAATGCTGGGATGCCGGGTTCGATCACAACTGCGGGCCATGTGCCTTGCGTTGGTTTCGACAGTGGTATCAAGAAAGCCGACCGTCCAAAAAGCAATGGCAAACTACTGGACTTAAATTTGCCTAGAAAAACCACACAACAGCCAGGGGCTGTTGGGGTTGGTTCTGCGACGTCCTGTAAAGGATACGCAACTAACCTAACTCAAAGAATGTCTATTTTAGTTGCGTTAAAGAATGAAATGCTTACAATTGGTGTGGGAACTGCATTCTGTTGCACAATGCCAGACGAAAAAGAAGAAGCTCTTGTGATGATGATAAAGGCGATCATAATGATGATGATGATGATGATGATGATAATAGTGATGATAATGTTGGTGGGAGAATAATTAAAACTATGACAGGAAAAATAACTCCTGTTTGTTTAGCGAGAATAACGTCCCCTAGTTCAACATGGCTGTTCAGTCCAGTATTGGATACATTGAAGTATGAGTAAACATAAGCAACACTCGTCCACGCCAGCTGGTAGACACTTTCCTTCTTTTGAATGATTCACCAAACGAATGTTAGTGTAAGTGCTTTTTTTATATGGCTTCATTGCCTTTTACAATCCTTGTATATGTTGGTTGTCAGTAACAGAGTACGAATACAAAGTTAAAGTAAACTAGCGACTCGGACTCTCGGCGCCTGTAACTGTGACAATGACTGACTCATCTCATCATTTCTAAGTCTCTATACTATAAATATGAAAATGCTGAGTTAAGTAGTGTTTGTAGAAATTAGTTAAGAAGATCGAGTGACTGGCAAAAATATAAATATGTGAATTGAAGTTGAAATAAGCAAAATCTATTGTATGATTGGGATAGTATTAATACTATTAGTAGGCTATCCTCCTAATATAGGCTATCCTCCGAATAACGGGCACGAAAGATGGCGGCCGCAAAATATACTGATGAGCCTCAGTCAAGTGTCATGTGTTGTTAACAGGCAAAAATTGAAGTCAAAACTCAAAACTAATAAGGAACGAAAAAAATGTTATTTTTATATCAAATCAAATACTTACTTACCGATAATTTTATGCCTTTATTTCTGGAAATTATGGCACAGAAGTTGTAAATAGTGCCCGAAAATCTGCTGTTTGTGGCTGTTACGCCATTGAAACTCGGCTAAGTACAATCCGAATAAGGCGCGGCTCGTACCCGGACCACATTGGTAACGCAGCTTTCTTTTTAGTAGCATCCACTAACCGGCTATCCTCAGAATAACGGGCAAAAAAGATGGCGGCCAAAAACAGGGCCTCAGTCACGTGTCAATTGCGCATTTCCAGCGACCTAATTTGCGGTTTTCCGGCAACTACCGCCACCGCCGAGAGTAGCTCACGCGGCACAGGATTGGGGCTAAACTAGATGGCTAGGACTCACGAGCAAAGCTGCGGAAGCGGGGGAGACTCTTGGCGTCGAGTTTAACTCGGCAGTTTTGTTCCATTTCTCAGAATTGTCCACAGATACTAATCCTAGTTTTCCCGCGATGCGCTCATGACCGCTAGTGTGCAATTGACACGTGACTGAGGCTCGTCAGGATATTTTGCAGCCGCCATCTTTCGTGCCCATTATTCAGAGCATACCCCAAATATTTAACCGTTATAACAGTCCCAAATTATCGAGGCCAAAAATATACGCTAACAAGGCCTCAGTCACATGTAAAGTGAGGACTAGCGGCGACTACCGCCATCACAGAGAGTATCTCCCACGCCGCTGCGTGGAGTGGGGCTAAACTAGATGGCTGGGACTCACAAGCAAATAAAATGAAGGAAGCTGCAAGAGATGCGGTAGCTGCTGCTCGTGAGTCCTAGCTATCTAGTTTAGCTCCGCTCCTCTCCCTGGTCGCAGTAGTCACCGCAGGTCCGCAATTTAAGTTGCCGGAAGTCGCAATTTACATGTGACTGAGGCCCTGTTAGGGTATATTTTTGGCCTCAATAATATGGGACTGTATCCGGAGGATAGCCAAAATTACCCAGCATTTAAAAACCTGTAACCCACTAAATCTTCTGTATAAATTGTTGAAATTTAGCATGCAACCTGCTAAAAATCATGTCCATATCAGAAAAAAATTTATATCATAAACAAATATCTAGTGTTTATTTTGCCCTGTTTGCAGTGCCTTAAAAACAGACACTGATTCAAATCATACATTTAGCATGTTTACAGTGAACGGAGTGGCGTAAACTTTGCAAAACATTAAATTGCACATTTTAGATGTAATACATGGGAAAAACCCTTGTGCAATTATTTTGAATAGTGAATTGAATACATCCTGTACTGTTATAATTCCATTTACGAAGTTGTAACTCAGTTCATATGTGTTTTATTCCTAGGTGGTGAGTCACCTGCATTAGCCTCTCATGAGTTGGATGAACACAATGTTTCATTGTATGCAGGATAGACTATCAAAAAATCCCCACACATTACTGCACATGTGAAATGATTTCCAAAACAAAATGATTTCCATAACAATCTCTAAGCTTATGGTTTATATTAAATAATTTGCAATTTCTGTCGGTTACTGAAAATTCTGTTTTTTAGAGGTACACAGATTATTTATCCACTAAAGATCAAAGAAATTTACTACTTTGAGAAAGTGGTATCTTCACCACCCTAAAAACATTATAAATTAGTCAGTAGTGACATTACTTAGACAAATTTAGTTATTAGTAAAACTGAATAATAATATAATTTTTTATTCTTTTGTTCAGCATGCAGGAAATGTCAACTTCCAAAAGAACATATGATGACATTGACCCAGATTACACAGATGTTTGTGAGCAGCAGACAAAACGACAAAGAGCCATTGAACAAGATGGTATAATATTTGTGCTTCATATTTTTTGTTCTGTATAGGGTGCTCATATTTTATGTAGAAATGTTCTGACAAAGGATTGCACAGACAACATCACTCCTTGCCAAACAGCAAATATTATGGAGATCCGCAAACTTTTCACGTAAAACTATGCTACAACTGTTCAGAGCATGGTTGTTGATACGTTTACATATAACGGTGAAACCTGGACCTTAACAGTTGAACTCAAGAGTTTATAATCAGTTTGCTACGGACAACAGTATCTTCACCTTAAAGGAGCAATTATGGGTTTTTCTTGTGTGCTATGATGTTGATTTTTTTTTCTTCTTCACGTTCACCAGCTGTAAGCTCTGGCGGTAAATTCTACCGTTCATCCACTTCTGGACTGCAGTCCTGTTACAAGACCTGACTGTTGCTTGGACATCAGTTTTACAAATTTGACTGCTGGTTTCTTGCCTCTCAGGCAGATGCACTCCGACTTTGAAGGAACCTCCCAATTAGTCGACTCTTACGACATGCTTTTGGGTAGGTAGTGGGTCTATTCTTGTCTTTCCTGTAACAGGGCCCCGGAACCCACCCGGGGAGATGTCGATTTTGAAATCAGTAATCAGTACTCAAAAGAAGTTACAGGCATTGGAAATGAGATTTTTCTGAACAGTTCTTGGCATATCATAGTTAGACCACATCAGAGATGGTAAGGTTTGCTGTATTATTATCCAGCACATTGGTAACTATAAACCTCTTTAACTACAGTGAAAAGATGGAAAATGCAATTGTATGGACAGGAAATGAGATCCATTAGCCTCTCAAAAAGACTACTACAGGGCTTAGTAGAGGGGAAAAGGCAGACTAAGAAAGACCTGGATACAAAACTTGACTGACTGGACAGGCCCAAGGCATGCAGCGATGGAGTTCATTGCATCAGACCATCAGAGGTGTACGGAGCTAATCAGACAGACAACAGCAACTGGTGACCCAACGACACACATGGTTACGGGATGATGATGATGATAGTTAGGTTGGCACTAAAGAATGGTTTTAATGATATTTGTTATAAAAATCTTTCTTAATATTCACTGGCTTTAAACTCACGCGGGGGAGGGAGGGGTCTTAGATTGTTTGGTAGGATCTCACCCTATCTAATCTGCTACAATCTATGTCACCATAGATTCCAATCTGTAAGTGGAGTCATTGAAAGTAAATATATTATTATCGTAAAGGTAAGGAACCTTTTACCACATTTTCATACATATTGGGCATAAAGAGCTAGACCCATATTTTTATAGACCCATTGGCATTACTAGGGATTGAACCCGGAACCTTTAGCACTTGAGGCGGACACCATGCCTCGAGACTATGCAGTCTCCTTGACAGTACTAATGTTGGCCCTACGATTTTTTTGGGTAATGTGGACAAATTGCTGCAACTCATTGTCTTTTTGTAAGTTTGTCTGTGGGATACATGTGGAAGAAGAAAGAAAGAAAAAAAGAATCCCCATAGCACAACAGTTAGTTCACCAATTGGTATTGCAAATAAAGGATTGAGCTGAAGAACAACCGAAAACTAGGAAGACGGGAGAATTCAGACGTGTCCACTAAAGCTATTATCGACTAGGTCAACGTCATTGTAGCAATTATAACATTTTAAGTTGTTTCGTGTAGTTGGTGTCTGTGGCTTAGGTCACGGCCGGCTTCAACTGATGGGCCATGCTGCTGACGTCACCCCGTCGGGCTTACGATGCATTAATGCAGCGGTTCTCAAACTGGGTGCCGAGGTCCCCTAGGGTGCCGTGAGTGTATGCCAGGGGTGCCGCGGCAATTATCAAGAAAAGGCTACAAAAATTGTGAAATTATCAAACAAGGCATGTAGATACTTAAAAGTTAAAATTTAAGTTATCTTCCCTCGCCACTGATGAAAATAGTTTATATATTGTTTGAAAACCGCTGCTTTAACGCATCATTACAGCTGGAGCCGATGCGCTTCATAATGCCGGGGTGCCAGGTTTGATCCCTGCTGCAGGCAATTTGGCAGCAGGCTGTCTTGTGTTGGTTTTAACAGTGGCTTCAACTGCCAACTGTTCAGGGAATGTACCTATCTTACTTTTTTTTTTTTTTTTTTACTTACAACAACACCGCTATCTATTTCTAAGAATTCACATGCCTTCTCTATTCAGTTGTGCATCAGCTTTATTGAAGGCAATGAATCTAAATACTGTGGATTTTAATGATCTTTTTGTGTGTGTGCGACTAGTCGAATTTCCGAACAACCAGACACATCAGTTCAAAACAGGGACGAACTGATTTAAACATTTTGTTCACGCTTATCCCAACCCATATCGTTGGAATCTAAATCATTACTAGTATTACTTTTTTCTTCATCTAACAACCGCTACATAAGATCTAAAGCCTGAGTTTTGGCCATTCTTTGAGCTGCCTTCTACAGTGGAGGCTGAAGATGCCATTTTAGAGAAGAAAATTCTGTGGCACTAATTTAACTAAAGTAAAATAATAAACCTAATTCTCTCGGCTTTATATCTTCTGAAAATGTGAATACTTTATTTGGCTAATTAAATGTTGAATTAAGAATCGACATCACAGCACTTGGGGCACTCCCATAAGTGCTCAGTCCACACCTTCAGCAGCAAGCGAAGTTTCAATTCTGAGGGTACTAGCAACCATATGATTGTATATCCATCTCATCCTTTCCCTGAGTGTTGAGCATCTGCCAGATCTTTGGAAACTCCTCGCAGCGCCATTCTCCTTGGACCGTAATGATCTATCTGCGCCTCTGCACTGTTCACTCACTCCCAAAGGGCCCTCACAATAACTAACCTGTCATACATTAATTCACCACCAAGTGGTGCAGAGCCAGCCAATCTATCTGCCTGCTCCCAGCACACTGGCATGACCTGGAGAAAATATCCAAAAGATGCTAACTACCCGAGACCTCTGAAGTGGTGCTTGCCACTCTGCCCGAAGCATGCCAGTTTTCACCTTTCTCAGCATGCTCTGTGAGTCAGTTACAATCACGGCATGTGTGTCTTTGGCTAATTCGTAAAAATTCATTTTCCTAGCAAATGAAACACTATTAGAGTGTTTATGCTGGGAGCCACTTAAGTGGCGATATGTCCAAACATGACCGATTCTGTTACTATCTAAATGGCCATATGTCCTAAAGAGTTAATAATATGAATAAAATCTGCAATTGTTTTTTTTCCTGCGAACAGTCTAATGAAAAATGTTTCAATTACGTTACACATGCAGCTATAGAAATGATTACAATTGTATTGTTTTATTTAACTAGCCAAGCATGGTGTTTGCAAGAGGATTCAAGCCGTGGTGAGGAATGAGTTTCAGAAAGAAATCAACAATAAAGAAATGGAATTACACCAGGCTGACAAGGTGAAGGAGACATTTCTTCAGAATGGAATGACTGTGTACAAATCATTATTGAGAATGATTGCGTGATAATTTTTATTGAAATAATTTTGGATAGTTTTCGAAGGTGATAGAAATGTCTTTGAGAATGATTGTAGGAAAGCGTTAATTGAAATTGTAGGAGAGAGAGAGAGATAGGCGTGGGAAGGATCATCCTTGAGACTGAAAATATTTATGAAGGCCTCTTAAATGGTAATATTTCTTGATGATTGTGTATAAAGCTTGTGAGATTGTGAGGATCTTTCTTGAGAATAATAATTACAAACTGAGGATGACTAAGCATGCATGGGAAAGCCCAATGTGCAACGGCGTCAGCTGTGATAACAAAACATACCATAACAGATTAATAAGATAGAAATCTTCTTGCAGACTGTTTATGTTCTGGGGAATCTTTCTTGAGATTAAATGATTAAGACTCTGATAGTGTGAGTTCCTTTAAAGTCAAAGTGCATCTGCATGGATGGCAGGGAACCAACACTCTGCCTACAAATAAACCAGATCTGGAAAAATGAATGTGCAATCAAAACTCCATTTGGAAAGCAAGATTAAAGTTTTGAAGAGGACTATCAACCAGAACTTTCTGCCGAAGTTTACAGCCGGTGAGTGTTGAGAGGAAGAAGAAAAGTATAGTATGGGTATGCTTCTTGAGAATGATAATATGGAAATTGTTAATTATGGTACAGACAAATTTACAGTGACTTATCTTTTGAAAAAAATCTATCACCCCAAGAAGACTAAATCTAGTCACTTTTGAGTCTGACATAGTTAAATAAATTCTGATATAACAGCTTGTACGAAGTGGTCTGTTCTTAAAAAAAATGTAGTTAAATTTCAGTGGTTCTATGTAAGCCTGCATAATTTTTAATTGGTGAGAATATAAATATAAACAAGTAAAAAAAGCTTGAAAGAGGGTTTTCCTGTGTGCCTCATTGATAGGGGTCATGGCATTAGCCACCCAGTACATATTTTTTTTTTTTTTTAGGCTGCTGGGGATGTATTTTATTTAGTGCTTCACTCTATTCATGTTTTTTGATTACTCATTTTGTATATTAAATTTTCATATTTAAACAAATTAAAAAACAAACCATATAGATAAATCAATTTTAAAAAAAATAGTACCAGTGACCTGTGAAAAAGTTTTTTTTTTTCTTTTAAAGGATTTATTTCTGGGTATTCCCACGGGTTCATGACTCATGTTTCTTCTTTAGCATTTGCGGGGTGAAAGGTTTGAACTGCATGTGAAAACTTTTGTGTGTGACTGGTTGTGAAAATCTTTCTTGTCAAATTATGTGAGAACCTTGTCATTTATGGTGTGCGAACCTATCTTGTCAGTTGTGGTTTTAGAGCCTGTCTGGTTAATTCTGGTATGAGGATCTCACTCGTCATTAAAAGGTGTGAGAACTTTGTCAGTTCTGGTGTGAGAACTTTTCTTCTTCTATGCTTACCATCAAAAAGGTTGTGAGCATATTGTTTTGTTGTTTATATCTAGACTGATATCTGAACTTTTTGGCCTGGTGCATTCATGTTTCAGTGAACTCCTAACTAAAGGGGCCCCCTGAAACCCACATAGGAAGATAAACCTCTCTTCATTATATCTTCAAATCCTTTTCCTGTTTCAGGCAACCTGAATTCCAGTGCTTGTGCACTGATAGAAAACTTAAGTCTTCCAGAGAATGCCAGTTAAGTTAATCAATGGGAAACAAATGGATTGAGGAAGCAAGGATGTCTGAGAGAAACAGACATTGATGAGAGAGATCAGAGGGGTTAAACTGTATTCTATCCATATTGGAAGGATACGACAGAATGAAGGACTAGACTACGAACCCTGTGTGACATATAGTGATTGATACTACAGGATTGTCATGAGGAAGTTTAGAAAAACCAACCAGTTAATCAGCAGATATATTATTCATAAAATTGTTGTGACTATGTTCAGTTTGTTGATTACACAAAGGCAGTGTCCTGATGTTTTGAGTCACTGTGTATACTGTATGTTGCTGTTTTTCTGTTGACAGGAGACCACTGCATGTCGTGTTTAATTTATTAATGGCACAAAGGCATTCTCCTGACATCTGATGTCGACATCTAGTCTCAGATGCTGCACACTTCAACCAAAATACCAAGCACCAAGCAGTTTGGCAGCATGCGCTGGTTTTGATTGCCAACCAGTCTTTCATCGTGAATCAAGCCTTTACAGAAATCTTCATGACGCTATAATGGCCCCATGTGCTTTCAATGCCAATGCATCCTCAATGTCTTGTATCCATCTTCACGGATGTCGACCCCAGTCTCGCCTTCCACAAACTGCACCTTCCATCATTGTCTTTTTCAAGCCACCATGACGCTTAATGTAGCCAAAATACTTCAACTTTTGGGACAGGATGCTGTTTATGAGCCAGTTCTACTGAGACGATCTACTGATCATAAAATTGCCTAGTCAAAGCATACAGAACGTCTGGGGTTCTGCAGCTAACTAAAAAAAGAAAAGTATACATTCTTATGCCAATATTTTCATATTGTGATTCCCAACATAAAATTATGTTAAATTTTTGTTTTTTGGATGTAGAGATTAAACGAGGCTCGGCTGATGATGGACAGACTGCGTGCCTGTATTGTTTCCACATACTATCGACAGATTTACCAGTTTGGCATGCCAGAGGTAAGCTTAATGATATGTTTCCGTCCTTTCTGTTGGTTGTTTGCATTCACCTGCTGCAAAATCCAGTGGAAATGCCTGGTTGTTTATCTGTTTATGGGCTTTGCCTTTGTTTCAGGGATTCAGTTTCTTTGTACATCTGTTTTACAGATCTAGCTTATTTGTCTGCAGTATGTTGTGTGCTTGTCTATCTGGCAGATTCACTCTGACAGGGAAAGAAACATCAGTCCTATCTTTGAAATGACTGTCAGTGAGAACCTATTATATAATAATCAAGTAGGAGGCTCTTCATTTAGTAGGACAGGATTGAAAGACAGGGGAACCAATGTTTGTCATTTAGTAGGAGGCTTTTACAGTGAGTTCCCTGCAGATGTTGACACTCTACATTGGGTGGTGGGCTGATGATGCTAGAGGTTTTCTGGACACTCTGCTAGGGCCACCAGCTCTGAGATCGCTCACCATCTCTGTTAAGCCTAACTTAGGCATTTTTCCTAGGTACACGATGAGGACGTGTAGTAGGAGTCTTTCATGTGGTTCTGTACAACTACGACAGAGCCTGCAGGGGCCCAGGATGAGTAATGGAATATGTTTTTATACATTGTCCAATGACCTTAACTTTCCCTCACGTCTGAAATTGAAATCTAGTTTCCCCTTTACACTGTCCAAAAGCCTTAACTTTCTTTCCCTCAAGTCGATGACTGAAATAAAGTTTCCCCTTGTACACTGTCCAACGGCCTTAACTTTCTTTCCCTCACGAACATGACTGAATGAAATAAAGTTTCCCCTTGTACACTGTCCAACGGCCTTAACTTTCTTTCCCTCATGTTCATGACTGAAATCAAGTTTCCCCTTGTACACTGTCCAACGGCCTTAACTTTCCCTCATGTTCATGATTGAAATCAAGTTTCCCCTAGTACACTGTCCAACGGCCTTAACTTGCCTTCATGTTCATGACTGAAATCAAGTTTCCCCTTGTACACTGTCCAATGGCCTTAACTTTTCCTCACGCCTTGTAAGCAGACGGTTGGTTTCTCACCTCTAAGGCAGATGCACGCCAAAGTTGAAGGAAACGCCCCTAACTGATCAATTTTTATGCCATGCTTGTTGTTTGGGGGGGGGGGGGGGGGGGGGGGGGGGGGGGGGGGGGGGGGTGGGTGGGGGGGGGGGGGGGGGGGGGGGGGGGGGGGGGGGGGGGGGGGGGGGGGGGGGTGGGGGGGGGGGGGGGGGGGGGATAAATTTATTCCTTTTAAAAATAAAACCGAAATGGGAACTCAAAATCCAGATGGAGAATAATTTTAAGTAAATGTGCTCAGGTGAATCCAGCGGGTCCTTCTGAAACAACAATAATGGATTGTCTGGCTCACACGCAGTGCCCTGCAGGACTCATATTGTTAACATGAAATGGCAAAAGACATGGCTCAGTATACTTGTCCTGGTGGGCAGATATCTGGGTACATTTGATACTGGTACTCAGTTTTTTGTTTAAAGAACACAGAAACAGGTGATCAATAATTGTAAGCTTGTGGAGCTGTTGCAAAGGAGTTTGAAGAACTGGATCTATTTGGAGTGTTGTGAGGATAGTCATAATTAATTATTGTATGGTGTACACTGATTTCTATTGCCCAGGCCTCAAGCACAAATGGGCCATCTTCATCCATCCATCCGGCTGTGAAGAAATGTTTAGGTAAAAGGCCTGTACATCATCAAATCAACTCCGACACTGCCACATCTCACCCTCAGAAATCTTCAGGAGTAGACATGTCATCAGACAGGGGTAGGTAGTGTGTCTTTGTGTACGTATCACATAGAATTAATTGTAATTCATAGATGTTTATTCCATAAACCTTATAGATTGGTTGCTGTTGTTTCTCTGAAATTTGCAGTGAAAATTCACGATCAGGTGATATGATTGTACGCACAGATGGATGTGTAATGCAAGGTAAAAAGATTATTTGGGGTTTTATTACAAATAAGAATGAAATTGAAAAAAAAAAATTAAAAATCACATATTTAAAAAACAAAGAAAGCCTCATATATAAAGTAACATCTGGCATAAGAATGGAGGTGGGGGCATTAACAGCAGCTTTCCAATGGCTGGACAGTAGTATAGTCTGACATTCTTTAATGATTACTGATTTGCAAAGCATGCTTCAGTAAATAGAAACTGGTGTCTCGCGCTTGGAGTAGCTTGCATCATAATAAGACTCAGATAAGAAGCATATCATGGATTTTGTTGTGAGAGTGTGGATGGTAAGAGGAAGCTGATAGAATAACCTCTCTAGGTGGTGGGCTATTTTATGAGAAAGTTGACGGGGCGAAGGCACTTTCGGATCAAGTAAACAGTGCAGCCAAACAGAAAATCAGTATCCAAACAGAGAATCAGTTTCTGGAGAAAAACTTTCAGTTCTTTATTATTATCCTACCCCAGATGACGTCACAGGACAGTCCAACATTTTAGAGGGTGGTAAGACTGGGTTTCCCAGCTTTATGATGCTTTTAACAACCCTAAAATATCTAGAACTGGCCCTAACCCCAACCCACCTATGTCCCACGAGAAGTGCAGCTTAGGTCCCACGACTGCATGCAGCCTAGGTCCCACGACTGTGTGCAGCCTATCTACCATCCCCTGAAATATTAGACTGTCCCGTGACCTTTGGATTTGCCCTGTTTGGGGTAAGATATTACTAAACCACCAATGATTCAGCTGGGAGGGAGCAGAATACCTCTGTATTTTTCTGTCCACAGGGAGAGAACAAACTTTGAATCACTTTGCAACTGGCCCTGGCAGTATGGGAACTCTTGTTGGCTACTGAGAACGGGGGCAGAGCACATATGGGAATGTTTCGACTGCAGTGATGTCAGTTCTTAATTGTTTTATTGATTGATTGATTCATTATTATATAGTAATCACTGTAGATTATTATCTTTATGAAGTACATTTATAATGTTTTTCTTCTATTTTCAGACTATGCATATTCTCTTCATCATAAAAACCAGAGTATAGTAGAACAGCACAACAGTCCTGCCAAAGTGACTGCTACCAACCAACCAACACCTTCTGCATCAAGCTCTGGTTCCACACTGAGCAAGGTAATATCATTATCACTGATTACACAGTCACACAATTACTTCATTATATTATAGCCAAGACAGAAAAACATCACCCATGAATCACATAATATAATCCGAAAAGACGCCAAACACTAAATTTTGTAATAAATTTGGAAAATTGCTATTAAGACATTTGAATTGATAAGACGGTTTGATGAGGTTCGGTGTTTATCAAATTCAACATCATATTTATCTGCCATCATCCTCGCAGTCAGACAAAGGTCTTTGTGAATCCTTTATCTGATGTTGGCAATGAGTTCATAATTAAAAGGGCCCTTTTGCATGCCTACAGGTAAATTGGGCATATAGGTCTAGGCATATATTTTGTAGACTAATCGGTGATTTATAGGTGATGGGGTCAGCATCACGCCAGCCGCCTTTACTTCCCAGTGCTTGTACCTGGTACCCACTCAAGGCTGGGTCAACCTGGAAGTTATGGTCATTTTGAAAAAAAAGTCTCGCCCCGCCAAGACCCAAATCCACGACCTTCCGATCTGCAGGCAAGCGTCAAGCCGCTTCACCACGGTGACTTTCGAGTTCCTCATTAGAGAAAGAAATGGGAAGGCCCAGCTTAAAGTAATCTTTAACCCTCTTAGCACGGACTGGCCGATTATCGGTCGGCGGATGTCTGGCCAAAAACACGGAACGGCTGATCATCGGCCCAATCGTGTTTCGCCACAAACCGCTAAGAAATCTCCTACTTTGAAACACTGAAAGTAATTCATTCATATTCACTGCTGTATTAGCTTTACACATGGCGACTTTCGAGTGTTTGGTATCGAAGTGAGAATTGTTGTTGAATTGTTTAGATAGTGACCTGAACCGCTAAAAGTATGTCTGACTCGTATCTTTCTGCCCCTAAACTTGATGTTGATAAAACATTTGAATCAAGTGATTACACTAATTCTGTTGATACAGATGCAGGATCTAGTGTTAGTAGTAATAGTGGGGAATCAGACGGAGACGCTGTTGTGTTCAGATCACAGCCCAACCACTGCTCTGGGTACATCTACCCAAAGATGTTGGCACTCTGGCACATCCATTTTTTGTGCTGACTGATGGTCAAAAACACATGTCACCTAAAGATATTATTGCTGTTTCATATATATATATATATATATACCTGTTTTTGACTATTGAATTGCTTAAATTTGTAAAAAAGCCAAGAATCAATAAAAAGATTTCAAATAAAATATATTTTTGTTTTTAGTTGTATGTTTCAAGCATTGAAGTTGAAAATTCACATTCTAATTTTCTATTTTCAGATATGCAAATGATATAATTTGCATATACACCAATTAATTATTGTGAAAATCATGAACTTCAATCTATATGCTTCAAATAGATATGTTATTTCATGGGGGTCAGAATAACAGAAATGTGTCAAAAAAATTAAATAAAGTAATAACCAAATTTACTGAAAAAATGCTCCATGTTTTTGGCTAGACATCTGAAAAACTTCCTGTGCTAAAAGGGTTAATCATTTCCATGCTAGTTTTAAACCCAGCATCTGCATATTTGTGCACAAGATAAACATTGATCCCCATTAACCTGTCATCATTTTCTTCTTTCTGCCAGCGATTTTCAGATGAGATGGTCATAGGCCTCTATGAAGTATGTGGTGCGACGCATCTCTTCCACTGTTCCATACAACTTGGTTTCCATTGGGTTTTTTTCCCCATAAAAACCGGGAGGAATAGACCCACTTAAAAAGTTTGTTTTAAAAAGCTGCTAACTAAGGTTTGCTGTAACCAGATATGTTGGACCGGACGGAGCAGATGTTGCAACCTAACTGCAAACCACAACACAACATGGCCTAATGCTGAAAAAGAAGTTCTAGTGTTGTTGGCAAGACCATTAACTTCCTATGTACATTCTCTCAGGTCCCTTCTGTGCCGTCTCTTGATGCTAGTTATGACGATCGACGTGCCAGATTCAAGATCAAGAAGAAAGTCATTATTGGAAATGTTTCCAAGTAAGTGTTTGCTTTTTTTTTTTTTTTTGTCTTGCTTCACCCTGGTGGCCCATAGGTCCTTAACTTGTGGGCCATTTTTAGGGTAGAGTCAGCTTAATCACCAATGGACTGGCTTACAAGTGAACATTTAATCTTACAGAGGGTTTGCATCTAAACAACAAATCAGCTAACTAAATTACTAACCAGCTAACCATTTGACTAAACAACCATTCACCCAGCTAGCCAGTCAGTTAAACAGTCAACCATCCAGCTAATCGGTCAGCTAAACTAATGATTTCCTGAGCCAAAGATTTTGGAGGGGTGGGGGAGTACACATTTTCTGTGTGCTCTATCTTCTTCTTATTTGTGTTCTCTGGCTTTGCAATTCTAGCGGAAAGTCCTGGTTGTTCATCCATTTGGACTTTAGGCTTTGCATCAGGACCTGAGTTTTGCGTGTACATCTGTTTTAGTTGCATATTTGTGAGCAGTTCTTGTTCGCTGCCTACTCTGACTTCAAGGGGGTGTGCTGTATCTGATGTATTGAATAATTTGATCTTCATTATTTTAAGTTCTTGATAGCGTTGATTGTTCCATATTTTGCATGTTCTTCCTCTTGGTCCGCATCAAACTATCTCATCTGTTGCTGTTAAAAGAATTGTGTGACTGGATTCAGCCCGTCTGTTTCTACTTTCTTCCTTTTTTATTGTTATCTCTTGTTACTCCAGCAGTAGTCATAAGACATCCTATCTCTGTTATTATGATTTTATGTTCATCACTTGTTGTAAGGGTCGATGTTTAACATTTCTTCTTCTTCGGCATTCTGAGCCCTTGAGGTTCATTGCTGCCGATATCACCCGCCTCTATTAATCTCTCTGGTTGACTTTCTCTTTCTAGTTGGCGACACCAAGTGTTTGTAGGTCTGTATGGATATTATCTTTCCATCGTCTTCTTGGTCTGCCTCGCGGTCTACGACCATTCATCTCTCTTGTGTATACAGTTTTTGACCTTTCTGTCATCTGACATTCTCTCAATTTGCCCCAGCCATTTCAGTCTGTTAGTGCTCATGATGCCAGTCCATTTAAATCCATCCATATTCAAAATCAAAGCATAAATATCTATTTTGTGATGAAATGAAGTTTTACGAAAAAGGGGGGGGGGGTGTCCCCACACTTCAACCCCCCAACCTGGAGGACCAGGGTGTCTGTCTCTTTTCTGCCCTTTTACATTTCTGGCTTGCAAGGCCCTGCTGGTAGCTACGCCTCAGCCGGCAAAGCTCTCAGGGTCATTGACAAACACAAGCTCCTCCACTGCAGCGAGGTGGAGAACCTTGCCTTGACACTCGTAGCTTAATTTTTGGTCTAAAATAGTTCTAATTATATTTTGCTTTGAGAGACAGAGATATGTCAACTCTTTGGCTAAGTTGATGCGAACGCTTCCTAATGCCGGGGTCTTGCGTTGGTTTCGACAGTGGTATCAAGAAGCTGACCGTCCAGAAAGCAATGGCAAACCACTGGATGTAAATTTGCCTAGAGAACTCGCACAACAGCCAGGTGCTGCTGGGGTTGGTTCTGCAACATCCTGTAAAGCATACGCAACTAACAAGACAGATATATCCTTCTACACGCCAAAGGACATACATGATGTTTTCTAGTAGGCCTATGCCTTAATGAAGTATACAGTTGATTTTAACTAATATATCAGCAGAGATAAGAGATTCTCTTTCCTTGTTTGCTATCCGCAGATACATTCCCATAGACCACAGGGAGACCAATGATAAATCCAGTCACAAGTGGATGGTTTATGTCAGGGGACCCAAGTCAGAGCCAGACATTTCTGGCTTTGTCAGGAAAGTCTGGTTTTTCCTACATCATAGCTACAAGCCAAATGATTTGGTGGAAATCAGGTGATCGTCTGGACTAAAGCCAGTTTTTCAGATTTTATTGTCCTGTGTTTTACCTGAGTTGTCATCTTTGTTGTCTTCATTGTGTGTTTTGTTGCTCAAGTTGTCTATTTGTTGCCTTAGTTGTCTGTTTTGTTACACTGGTTGTGTTTTGTGGCCTTGGTTGTCTATTTTGTTGCCCTAGTCATATGCTTTGTTGCATTGGTTGTCTATTTTGTTACCCTAGTCGTCTGTTTTGTTGCACATGTTGTCTGTTTTGTTGCCTAGTTGCCTGTTTTGTTGCCAAAGTTGTCTGTTTTGTTGATCAGGTTGTCACTCTGTTGCCTGAGTTGTCATCCTTGTTTTCTTAGACCATTACACAGACCAAGGAAAGATTATTTATAGGCAAACCTACAAGCACTTGGAATCAACAGCTGGAAAGAGAAGGTCAGTCAGATGGGTGTTATCTGCAGCAATAAACCACAAGGACGCAGAGTGCTGAAGAAGTTGATGAGTTGCATGTTGCGTTGCTTTGGCTGCCATCCTTGTCGTGGATTATGTTTGTTTGACCATACATAAATCCAGACTCAGGCATCCTTTAATGTGTTTCAAAGCACAGCAGGAAAGTCCAGAGGCCTGGAAGTTCTGACCAGGGTCGGCTCATCCCAGTGATTGTTCAGTGGCCGAACCAGTTGTTGAACAGGGGATCTCCATGGCAAAATGGGCGCGGGCCGTTTGCCTCTCGCATGGGTTTTGTTTCACAGCTGCACTGTTTGATTCCTGAGTGTGGTTTTTACGGAGACCTCTGGTGATCATCGCCAGAGCTTTAGAGTTCATGATTTGTGTGGTGCCCTTGGCAAGAGGCAAGCCGGTTTTAATGAAGGGCATGGCATATCTTGATTCCAGTGAGCAGTGACGAATTGTGTGTATTACAGTGATATATATAATTGTAGGATGACCATTGTGCTTGAAATTATTCATTCGTTTTTAGCTAAACCAGTTTTTTTTTTTTTTAAAGTTCTATAGGACTCCTGTTCTTCAGCTTTTTATCTTCCAATGGAGAATCAACCCTTAACCAACCTGCTTTCTTTTTGGCCTCCAGTAACACTGTATAAGCCTTAAGAAATTAAAAACATTAATTTATGATTGATGTGTTTAAATGTATATCATGAATTAATTTATGAATGGCATTAATATAATTTTATCATTTTAACCAGTTCTCCGCCATTTCACTTAACACGACGGGGCTGGGGAGAATTTCCTGTTCGAGTACAACTTCATTTTGTAGATCCTCGCAACAAGAAAGTTGATATTATTCATCAGCTGAAAGTAAGTATATTGTCTAATTAATAAGTATTACTTTTTTGTATGCCATACAAAGAAATTCATTATTTATGTATTGATTACTCATCATGAAATCAGACGAATGCTAGGAATAAAGCCAGTCTTACAGGTTATCAAAGAACAACAAATGAAGTGGTTTGGACACCTGACAAGAATGCCCTGGTACTATCTGCCACAGCTAGCCACACTAAAACGTTACAACGGGTATAGAGCGAGTGGAAGACCTCGGAAAATATGGAGTGATGGCATTAAGAACAGCTTTACAGAAATAAACATCAGTCTTAATAGTGCTCTTGACAGAGCTCATCAACGAACATTACATCTCCCCCCGACACTTCGATGAGGTAAAAGGTGGAAGAGAAGAAGAAGAAGATAACTCGGCTCTTCTTTCACTACCGGACGGTAGCTTTACGGCTTAGGTCGGCTTAGTGGGAGTTCTCTCCCTTGGCCGCATTGCAAACAGTGAGCGGAAAAGTCACGAATCGAATGACATACTTACCCATCATCAAAAGGTTGCGTGTAGGGTTGGGTACGTTTGCGTGTAGGGTTGCGTAATCATCATACGGTTGCGTGAAGGGTTGCATAGTCATCATACCATTGCGTCTAGGGTTACCTATCATCATACGGTTGCGTGTAGGGTTGCGTAGGGTGTCTATCATCATACAGTTGCATCTAGGGTTGCATAGGGTTAGGGTTAGGGGTAGGGTTAGATGTGAAAATTTTGACGTAGAAGTTCCAAATACTGGCCGACAATCTGATGCTAGTGGGAGTGGCGCCACTGGAAGTCTGCCAGATATGACGGCAATAGCGCGCGGCTGGTGCCTAATCGGTGGCGAATTGTCCGTGTCAGTAGCATCCACAGTCCGTCGACTGTTTGGGTGTGTATGCGACTGTGCACGATTATAGGGAACTCCGACGTCAAAAGTGTCACATCTAACGCTGAACCTACCCCTAACCCTAACCCTACCCCTAACCATGCAAATTTATCGGTCATTAAAGCATACACATCGGCAACCCCCCCCCCCCCCCCAACCCCCAGATTTTCCCGCAGCGTAACACAAAACAACCCCAGATGTGGGGGACACAACCAAGCATTGGCTTGGTGTCGACCTCACTGTCTTCTTTGATTCGTGACTTTTCCGCTCCTTGTTTGCAATGCGGCCAAGTGAGAGAACTCCCACTAAGCCGTCCAGCTATCGTCCGGTAGTGAAAGGAGAGCCGATAACCCCTTGTATTGTGATTTCTTACCAGTGTTTGTTTATTGACTTGTGCTTTAGTAGTTATGTATGTGTTAAAAAATGTCATGATCTTCGAGTACAATGGTTCAGTTTCTCCACTGCATGGTTGCTTAAAAAAAAACACCATTTGGGAAAGGTGTGGTGGAGGCAGTACTGAAAGAACCACTACCCTAGGAGAGATTGGGTCTTCACCGTGTAATATTCTCAAAGATACAAGTGGGTAAATTGTAGTCAACTTTCATTGTGGAAACTGGATATAATTTTTCACATGCATTTATTAATAGGTTACTCCTAACATAATGTGATTTCACAGCTCTGTTTGTTAATTGATTACTCCATACATAATGTGATTTCATACTTTTGTTTGTTAATTGGTTGCTTTTTACATAATGTGATTTCATAGCTCTGTTTGATAATTGGTTACTCCTTACATAATGTGATTTTGTAGCGCTATTTGTTAACTGGTAGCTACTTACATAATGCGATTTCATAATTGTTTTTTGTTAATTGGTTACTCCTGACATAATGTGATTTCATAGCTCTATTTGTTAATTGGTTACTCCTTACATAATATGATTTCCTAGCTTTGTGAATTGCTTACTCCTTACTTTGTGCGATTTAATATCTCTGTTTGTTAAATGGTTACATAATGTGATTCAATATCCCTGTTTGTTAAATGGTTATTCCTTACATAACAATGTGATTTCATAGCTGTGTTGTTAATTGCCTACTTTTTACATAATGTGATTTCATCGCTTTGTTTGTTTATTAGTTACTACTTACAAAATGTGATTACATATATCTGTTTGTTTATTAGTTACTCCTTACATAATTTGATTTCATATCTCTATGTTTTAATTGGTCACTTCTTACTTGTCGCAGTCATGAGTCCACCATCAGATAGTGTCTCAAATTCTCACCTTCCTTGTATAGATTCTGGTGCCGTTTTGGAGGGGAAAAATATTGACCCATCCCCCCACCAACAAGCATGCCGAAAAGGGAAATAATTAGTGCCATTTCCTTAATGTTTAGTGTTTAATTAAGATACAGCACTAAGAACATTCTCAAAAGCGCTGGGTCCCCCTTCTTCAGCAGCAAGCACAGAGTTCCACTTACGATGGTACCAATATCATTCTGAATGTAAATGCATCTCGCCTTTTCCCCTGAGTGTTGGCTATATCCCTGCTAGTTCTTTGTAGCACCATTCTCCTCAGACTGTGATGATCCATCTGTGCTTCCACACTGGTCACCTGCCCTGAAGGGGCTTCTACAACATCTTGCTTTGAATTTATTAGTTTACCACTAAGTTGTGCAGAACCAGTAGTCTGTCTGTCTGTTCATTTCCCAACACAACGATATGGCCTGGAGAAACTCAAAAGCATGCTAACTTCACAGGACCTCTGAAGCTATGCTTGCTACTCAGCAGGAAGCAAAGCTGTCTCTATCTTGCTCAGATTGCTTTGTGAGTAGGTAACAGTTATAACAAGTGTGTACTGCTGGTTCTCAAGTCTGCAGTAACTGCCTCCACCTCCATTCTCAAACTAGATTTTGTAGTACCATATGCTAGACTTTATTGCACTAAGCGATGCTCATTTGCTTTTGCTAAGAACCATCATCAGCTTTGCCTCTCATCACAGTCATCTTATGTAATGACATAACCTAGGCGAGAATTATCATGAATCATTTGTTGAACTCCTGATTCTGCAGCTCCCACTGGCCGGTCCCTGCACTCACAGCACAGTGTGATTAGAACCCTCCACACTTCTGACTGTTGCTCTGACACTTTGACCCACTCCTCTCCTCACCCAGTATTATCAAGCCTGCACACATGTGTCTTCAGCTTGCTCCATCCAAGACCTTCCACCTGTCTGTATGTGACTCTTAGCTGTATCTGTGACTTCAGGCAGGAGGTTCTGTGCAACTGCCCTGGAATATAACTTTGTTGCAGCACTTCAAGCCTATCTGTAATAGTCAGCATAGCATGTTTAGCACACATACTACCATATGGATCTCTTGTATAGCCCATAGTTACCCACATAGCTTCATTCTATATGAGTTCAAGTTTTATCAACTGACTCTTTGATATAGTAAGTATTCCAGATCTTTAATCTGTATCACTGAGACAATCACATGCTGTAACATTGTGAACAGATTCTTTGTTCCATTTCAGTTGCTACCCTAATCTTGAGTGTTTTTAGTCCTTTTCATCATTTTGGCCTAGCTGCCTGCCTCCACATGAAGGACAGGTTTCTATCGAAAGTGATAAGTGGTGTTTCCTTTGAAGTCAGAGTCCATCTGCCTGAGAGTCAAGAAACCAGTAGTCTGTAAATAAACCTGATATCTAAAATGGATGCTCACACAAAACGCATGTTCTGGGACAAGACCACAGTCCAGACATGGATGAACACTTGAAACTTTCCCCCAGTTTACAGCCAGGGATAGCTAAGAAGATGAAAATCCTCAACTTAGCAGTTTTTTGGGGGGTCTGTTTTCAACATATGCTTTTATGGTGACTGAAAGGTCTTGGGGTGAGTCCACGCCAAAAAGTTTTTGGGAATTTTTGAAAAAACCATTATTCTCACATCAGCTCAGCTTAAAATGGGTAGCAGGAAAACTTCAAGGTGGTAAGGAGGTAAAGGCAGTCAATATGATGTTCATCACAGCTTCCATAGATGACTGTTTGGTCACTAAAAGTATCCATCTAGCATTGTTTACCTGATACGCAACTAACGTTTGAAAAAAAAAATCCACTGCTTTCACTTGGCAGAAGAGAATACAAAAGCTATACAGAAAGTATTGTGGTCTTTGTTCTTAGCAAGATTTTCAGAATAATGTCCATCCACACAAAACACACAAAAAAAACAGTTAAATTCTAAGAGATGTGAACATCAAGGAGAATTGGCTAATAAACAGCATCCCGGGTATCAGAAATCAGAAACTAAAATATTTCGGCACCACAGTGGATTGGGAAAATATAGTAGCAGGAGGGGCAGGGACCGACCAATACGAAGATGGGCACAGGATATAAATGACTCCTTGGATATGAAAAGGCACAAGGCAGGTGAGCTGGTGAGAGACAGTTTCTTCCAGGCAGACCGTAATGAGAGTAATCTTCTGCAAAGGACTTGTCAAATGGTGCTCTTAGAAGGTTCAGTTTGTCTCTGGTAGCTTTCTTATTTTGAACTAAAATTTAGTCTGCATCAGTCACTTTTCCCCAACAGTTAATAACTTATTTTGATTTGGTTTGATTGTTTTTTTTCTCCTTTGTCTTTTCCAGCTCGACAAAACATTCAGTGGTTTGCAAACTCTCGGGGCAGAAACAGTGAGTAAAAACTTTTAAACATTGTTCAAAACTTGTCAAAAGAAAAATAAAAGGTTACAAAGAGAGAAGTTAACTTTATTAACAAATAAGTGGGCAGTCCATTAGAGTCTTGAAGTGTTGTGTTTTCCTGACACATGGGAGCTTGTCCAGGATTTTAACCTGCTACCTCTCATACCTGAAGTGGAAATCATACCCTTCACCACTTGGCCACACAGGGATGCTCTCAATATATTTTCCTCACCTGCTCCTAAGTCTAGTAGCCTCTTGTGCCCACCCCACTTGCCTCTGGGTCCAGTAGCCTCGTGTACTCACCTCACTTGCCTTTGGGTCCAGTAGCCTCTTGTGCCCACCTCACTTGCCTCTGGGTCCAGTAACCTCTTGTGCCCACCTCACTTGCCTCTGGGTCCAGTAGCCTCGTGTACTCACCTCACTTGCCTCTGGGTCCAGTAGCCTCGTGTGCCCACCTCACTTGCCTCTAAGTCTAGTAGCCTCTTGTGCCCACCTCACTTGCCTCTAGGTCCAGTAGCCTCTTGTGCCCACCTCACTTGCCTCTGGGTCCAGTAACCTCTTGTGCCCACCTCACTTGCCTCTGGATCCAGTAGCCTCTTGTACTCACCTCACTTGCCTCTAGGTCCAGTAACCTCTTGTGCCCACCTCACTTGCCTCTGGGTCCAGTAACCTCTTGTACTCACCTCACTTGCCTCTGGATCCAGTAGCCTCTTGTACCCACCTCACTTGCCTCTGGATCCAGTAGCCTCTTGTACTCACCTCACTTGCCTCTGGGTCCAGTAGCCTCATGTCCCTACCTCAACTTGCCTCTGGGTCCAGTAGCCTCTTGTCCCTACCTCAACTTGCCTCTGGGTCCAGTAGCCTCATGTACTCACCTCACTTGCCTCTGGATCCAGTAACCTCTTGTACTCACCTCACTTGCCTCTGGATCCAGTAGCCTCTTGTACTCACCTCACTTGCCTCTGGATCCAGTAGCCTCTTGTACTCACCTCACTTGCCTCTGGGTCCAGTAGCCTCATGTACTCACCTCACTTACCTCTGGATCCAGTAACCTCATGTACTCACCTCACTTGCCTCTGGGTCCAGTAGCCTCTTGTACTCACCTCACTTGCCTCTGGGTCCAGTAGCCTCTTGTACTCACCTCACTTGCCTCTGGGTCCAGTAGCCTCTTGTGCCCACCTCACGCTGCTGTTTGTTTGGACTACACTGCTGCCTTGATTTTAAGATCCTGGTCAAAGTCTATGATCTCACAGTTGTACTCTATCACACTAGACATGTTTATGAAATTATCGGTACAATACTATCGAAGCTTGCTCACGTTAGTCTACTGTTTGTTAATACTATTGTCAGCGACACAGGGAGATAACTTAGTAATACTTGACCCATCTAGTTATTATTTAACAATCTTGAAAACTTATTGAAATAATTGAAATTCAAAAGAAGAGAAGAAAAACCATCCACAGTATTTAACACAAAAAAAAAAAAACAACAAAAATACTCGAAGAAGTATTTGGGTCAGGTTTTATATAACTGACCAACTGTGGGAGTCGTACTTGTGAGTTTAGTGTTTTCTCACTGTTTCCGGGGAGTTCAGAATTTTCATGTGTTATTGGATTTGTAGTGTAATCTGTTCCAGCCAGAGTTATAATCTTGATTAGCTGTGGTCTGTTTCACCATTGACTAAGTGTGGCCTGCTTCACCACTGTGTGGTCTGTTTCACCACTGACTAAGTGTGGCCTGTTTCACCACTGAGTGTGGCCTGCTTCACCACTGTGTGGTCTGTTTCACCACTGACTAAGTGTGGTCTGTTTCACCACTGACTAAGTGTGGCCTGTTTCACCACTGACTAAGTGTGGTCTGTTTCACCACTGACTAAGTGTGGTCTGTTTCACCACTGAGTGTGGCCTGTTTCACCACTGACTAAGTGTGGTCTGTTTCACCACTGACTAAGTGTGGTCTGTTTCACCACTGACTAAGTATGGTTTGTTTCACCACTGACTAAGTGTGGGCTGTTTTACCACTGACTAAGTGTGGTCTGTTTCACCGCTGACTAAGTGTGGTCTGTTTCACCACTGACTAAGTGTTGTCTGTTTCACCACTAAGTGTGGTCTGTTTCACCACTGACTAAGTGTGGTCTGTTTCACCACTGACTAAGTGTGGGCCATGACACAAAAGTTTACTGAAGGGTCTTGACCAGATCTGGCTTGTCACGCATAAGTTAACTACGCATTGGTGCAGGACCAGCCAAAACAGCTCTCACTTGGACACCAGAGGGAAAGAGAAGGAAGGGACACAATACATGAATGATGGAAAGTGAACTGAGTGCTGCATCTCTGACTTAGAACACTGCACTGAAGATTGCACAGGACAGGAAAGCATGGAAAGTCCTCATGTGCCACTAGGCATAAAGAGAATTGATGATTTTGATGATGATAACGATTATTGGGGCAGAACCAGCCATTATGTCTGCCTGTTCATTTCCGAGACTCCTGCATGTCCCGGAGAAAATATCAAAAGAATCCTAAACTCCCAGGGCCTCTGAAGTGATTCTTGCCACAGCACAGAGCTTCCCTGCCTCCACCTTTCTTCTCATGCTTTGTGTGTTGGTTACAATCATTTGTTGTTACTCTATAGGCTCCAGCAATGATCTTTTTGAAGATGGGAGCCAGATAATTTATGTTTCTTTTTCAACATTTCTAACCTTTGGGATTTATTGCTGCAGATAGCACTCACTTCAGTTCATCTCTGTGACTGCCTTTGTCTTTCCTGTTTGTTAAACATTAGGCAGATATATACATATATATATATACATATATATAGTTAGTGTGCTATAGTGGATCCAGTGTTATCGTTAAAATAATAATAATAGTTAAATTAACTAATAAATATGAAATTTTGAGGTAGTAATATCCCACATGTGACTTCCGGGACCTTGGGGGGGGGGGGGGGTGTTTGCAGACTGGCTGCCCCCCTAACTAGCATATTGTAAGAGTCGACAAATCAAAAGTTGCCTTCGAAGTTGGAGTGTGTCTGCCTGAGAGGCAAGGAACATACATTGTCTCCATACAAATAAGCCAGATCTGTAAAATAAAATGTGGATGCAAAGTCAAGTTCTGAAACAAGATTAAAGTCTAGAAGTGAATGAATATCCAGAACTTTCTGCCATAATTTACAGCCAGTGAACGCAAAGAAGATGAGAAAGAAGTAATAGTAGCTATTTGTTAATCCTGTTGTAAATATTGTTGAAAAACAATTAATGATTAACTTGTGTACATAACAGTATGTAATATTAGAAAGTATCATAGCTACTTTGTAATAATAATGTTATTTAAAAACTTATTATTGTTTAATTTTGTTTCTAATATTTTACAAACTATCTGCAGACTGTGGAAGTGGACCTAGAAAGGGATTTCTTTGAAACAGATGCAAATGGCAGAAGTCACCATTTAAGACAGTCGTCCTCATCATCGTTGTCGTCATACCATGAGAGAGAAACCTTGTTGAGCTCGTTGTACAAGGCAGCACCAGTGCCAACTGAGAGAGTCCTGCCAGTTTCTCACACAGAAAACATTGTATTATCAGAACAGTCAGGCAGGAATCTCCATGATCATTCTCAGTCCGGTGGCCGTAGTTGGAGTTGTGAATCCGTTATGGATAATAAATGTGCTCCTTCGGAGTGTCTAAAAGCAGACATGAGTGGCACAGAGGAAGGTTGTGTGGCTGATTTGGCAATGGGTCTTGAGCCTGTGTTTGAGATGGAGACTGAGACGGTCACTGCAGAGAAGGAGTATAATGTGACTATCGCTCATGAAACTAATGAAAGTGAACATCATGGTCAGGAGGAGGAGGAGGAAATTATAGTGACAGATGTGTCCAGAACAGGGAAGGATACCCAAAAGAATGGGACAGACAGCAGCACCGCAAATATTGCTGCAGTTTATGAGCCTCAGAATCGTACGTCGGGTACACAGTTTCAGCAAGAATTTTCATCAGCAAAACCAAGCCTGGTAACACCCTTAACCATAATCAGCAAGTCACAGCTGGTGAAGTCTGCAGATGTTTCAGGAATTATGTCAGTGACTCTGCAGAGGTCCACATCCAACATCTCCAACTCACTACTTCAGCAGCCTTCACCCAACATCTCCAACTCACTACTTCAGCAGCCTTCACCCAACATTTCCAACTCAGTAACCCAGTTACACACATCCAACATCTCTCACTCACTACTGCAGCTGCCGACATCCAAAATCTCCCACTCACTACCCCAGCTGCCCATATCCAACATTTCCAACACACTACCTCAGCTGCTCAGATCCAACATCTCTACCTCAGCCAACAAAATTAGCCATGCTCAGGCTGGGGATAGCGAATCAAAAAATCCATTGTTCAGTTCTGTAGATCACAACACAACAGTTACACCTGTACCGTCTCATCCAAGCAGTTTTATAGTGTTGGAATCCAGTGGGGTATCTGTTAAACCAATCATCAAACAGTTATGTCCATCGCTTCCATCCCTGCCATCATCTGTATCAGTTCTGCCAGTGTTAAATACAGCCAAGATTATAGCACCTCCTGTATTTGGCTCTACTCATTTGCCATCATCACAGCACATTTCATCAACAGCCACTGCTTCCAGAATTACTAAATCTTCTGTTGGACCATCTGCAGTATCCCTGTCTCAGCTGATGCTGCCCAAGCCTCCTCAACCATCTCCTCAGTTTGACTCTCAGAAGCTCTTTATTGTCAAATCAAATATCCCGGATGTTAAACTTCAGGTATCTGGCCCAAGTTCAACTGCTGCCGGAAGCAAATCCTTGCTGCAGCCAAAACCCAGCGGTCCTAAGCAGGTGTCTCTACTAACTGGCAGGGTTTTTACACCACCCACTCCACCACCTGTTGCCGCCAAAGCCTTTGCTTCCAGTCAGAAGACTCAAGAAACATTACTAGCCAAACATAGCTTAGTGACAAAAGATATGTGCAATCAAATTTTATCTTCACAAAGTCAAATTACAAAATCTGGCTCAAAGCAAGGGCAGGTGCTAATATTAAAAACTGTCAATCATTCAGGAGTATCTATTCCTCAAGCAACAGATCAGGGTGCCAACCAGGCACATAGTTTAGCTAATATAAAACTTGTGAATGGTATTCTAGGACAGGATGTGACTTCTCATTCGGTAAATGTTTCTTATTCAACTCCTGGTGGATTCACATCAGAATTGCCGCTAACTGTCATGAACAACTATATCCCCATAAACAGCTCAACTAGTCAAACTATGCAACAGAGACCCACTCGGATTATGGGCTCCGATATCGTTCTCCACGTACCAGGGCAGTATCAGACCCAGCTCAACGGCCACGGTGTTAGTTCTTTCACAAAAATGTCAGCCATAGGCATGACCAAGCGAGGAAAGAACCCTTCCGCACTGCCAGTTGTAAATACAAACTTTCGACCCACGACCGATGAGGAGAGGAGACAAAATCAGTATGAAGTACTCATGGAATGGAAAAGAAATCGCCATCTTGAAGAGAAAGCCAAGGCGGTTGCCAGAGTTGTCAGGGACAAGATTGAGGAGAAGCAGATGTCATACCAGACTTGAAGTGAGCATTTGTTGATGTAGTCTTGTCTTGGTGGTGTCCTTGGTGAGATGGTTAAGCCTCTTGCTTTCAAGATTGTGGGTTTGATTCAGACACAGTCCTGCGGTCAACAAATTCAGTTGTTAAGATATAAAGGAGATCCCTGGAGGTTGTTACTTTGTGCAGCAGGGCACTCTCAATGTGTACTAGCCTCCTCGCTGATAGAGATTCAGCCATGTGGGATCAAATCCAATGCAGTGTAATTGAACATCTTGCCTTTAAATGCCTAGCCATTGTTTTGTTTTAATCTGTTGACTCTGAAATGATTTCATTGCCTTGCGGTGAATGAGTGCAGGTGTTGAGAGATCCCTTGAAGTTAGCACTTTCAGTGGGCAACTGGTTGCCTTGTTGATAGAGGCTGAGCCATGTTGGACCACATCCAGTCATCATCTTTTTTTTTTAAAGGTCCGATCCCGGCTGTTGTCAGGGCCTCTAATAAAACCTAACAGTTAAATAGGGTTTCTTGGACTTGTGGACAGGTGACCCTGATCCAAATGCTGACACTTTGTGTCACCAGGTGTTGGTCGCTTGTTGTACGGTGTTGGTGGGGTTGAGTGCCTCTCTCATAAAATCAAGTGCAGTGTAATTAATCATCTTGCCTTTAAATGCCTAGCTTGTGTCTTGTTTTATCTCTTGAATCTCTGATCTCTTGAATCTGAAACGTCAGTTTGGATGTTTTCATTGAAAAGTTAACAAACTGTTTTAAGTCTCTGGCACAACAGGCATATGATACTTAAAAAAAACAAAAAAACTCCCGTCTGCAAGGTGAAGGTTGGCTAAGTTGCATCGCCTGCTGTTTTTAGGAATATAACCTAAAAGGCCTCCAGTATTTGCCACGACATGACTTTCTCACTACTGTTGAAAAACCACAAGAATGGTTGTTGTTTTTAAATAATACTAGAATCATATTTCGTAGATTAGTTGTCACTTTCTGGGTGATGTGTGCTCATCATTGTGCCAGCCTCTTTTACTTCCCCGCACATTGCCTGGTACCTGTTTTAGACTGTCGACCAGAGAGCCAAGGTCAATTTTCCTAAGAGACTCATATTTTATAGACCAGTTAGCACTCAGTTGGAGATGTGGCCAGCCACCTTTGCTGCCCAGGACATTACCTGGCACCTGTTTCAGATTGCCTAGGTCAGTTTTTAACAAAGCCATTATAATGTGGATTTAAACCCAAGACCTACAGGTTGATATGCAAGCATCTAGCCACTTCTATGCCATGGCTGCCTTTGTTTTCGTTAGATTTGTTCTCATTCATCCTAGCTAATGTGTGCAATTAGGGCATGAATGTACTGAGGTACAGGTATTGAGGTAGATTTGTTGGAACAAAATGCCATAGACTGTTGCATAGAGGGAAAATCAGGAGGTAAATAGGAATAAAGGGAGAAATTGATTGCAGAAAGGTTGAGAGCTGGGCTTCTGAGAAAGTGCACATTAAATACATGTGATGATGACAACAAATGTCCTGAATGCGGCAGGTCTTGCAAGTCGCACTCGCCACTGCCATTGACTGATTCCCATATCTCTTCATTGCACAGTACAGTACTATCCTTCTCAAAAGAGGGAAAGGTGCCAACAGACCAGCATACAAATTAAATGTATGCTCTAGATGTTTTAAACAGAAATATGAATTAAGAGCTGTTGCACATGAACCCAGCAAAAATTATATATTTGGTGCCATGGGGAAAGCATTAAACTCTTTGAGTCCCAAACAATATGTGATGTGTAAATCACTGCCTACTGAATCCCCTCCTCAGCTTAATATGCTCTGTCACTTGTTTGTATTTGGTCAGAACACTCTTAAGAAATCTGGCTTGTCCAGTTTAAGCAAAGGACCCTTTTCCTTGCCTTCAGGCATACTGGGAATATTGGCCTAGAACTATTTCTTTAAAGACCAGTCAGCACTCGGTCAACATCACACCATCTGCCTTTACTTCCGAGGACCTTACCTGATACCCATTTAAGGCTCAGTTTACCTAAGAACCAAGGTAATGTCTGAAAAAGTCTGGCTCCCTCAGAACTCGAACCCACGACCTTCAGATCCACAGGCAAGCCCTAGATGCTACACCAGGTCGGCTCTCCCAATGATCACCATTACTGTTATTTTACCGCTTTGAAAGTAATGCACTAATAAAAGTTTAATCCCGGATATTTCTTCACTGGCATTTCCTGCTAAACCTTCTCTTAAAGCTGAAAGAGGGCAGAAACAGTTTATTGCATCACCATGTGGGTTGCGGGGCCCCATTATGAGGAAAACGAGAATAAACCCACTGCCTCTCCATCAAGCATGTCATATGAGTAGACTAAATGGGTGTTTTCGTCAAAGTCGGAGTGTATCTGCCTGAGAGGCAAGGAACCAACAGTTTGCATACAAATAAGTCAGATCTGTAAAATGGATGTGCGTGCAACACTCAGGTTCTGGAACAAGTCTTAAGTCCCGTTGTGGATGAACAACCAGAACTTTTCGCCGGAGTTTGCAGCCGGTGAGTGCCAGGAAAAAGGCGAAGAATTTATCGCATAGTTAATTTGCCTGGCATATTTGATTGTATCCTCAGTTGGCGCATATTGCAGAAGTTACCTAAAGAAATAGTGCAGCACAAAAATGAATCTTTTTTACGCAGATCACATAATCCAGAGTTTCCCATGTTTTAGTGGGAGTCCTGGATTACCCTGTTAGTTTCTAATTGGTTGAATGCATATTCTGATGACTCTAACAGACCTAAAAACCACTGGTGATATGTTGTATAAATGGACTGTGTGCTGTTATGCTGTGGTCTGTTATCACAGTTGACTTCACTGCATATGCATGCCCAGTCCTCCCATACAGCAGCCATCCACAGGTACCTCTGATTGTTCCCATCTGCATGTGGGTTTCGGGGCCCCATTTTGGTAGGGGGGGGGGGAATTTTGTTTGTCTATCCTTTAGCAGAAACAACCCCAGTATTTTTTGGCTGTTGTAGGTTTTTCTAGGCAAATTCTACATTCAGTAGTTTGCCATTGCTTTCTAAACAGTCAGCTTTTGTTACCACTGTTGAAACCAGCGGAAGACAATTTGTTTGCAGCTGGGATCGAATCCGGCATTACGAAGCGCATTCGCAGCTCCTAAGCCACAGATGCCAACATATGTCAGTTGTGTATCCTTGTACAAGATGTTGCATATTTTGGATGTTGTGGTTTTTTCTAGGCACATTTTACTTTCAATGCCCCTTAACAAGCATGTCATAAAAGACAACTAATTAGGGGTGCTTTTATTGAATTGGAAATGTATCTGCCTGAAAAGTGAGGAAACCACAGTCTGCATACACATAAACCAGATATGTAAAACAGATGTGCATGCAAAATTCAAGTTCTGTGACAATCCAGAGTTCATAAGTGGACGAACAACCAGAAATTTTGGTGAAAGTTTACAGCTGGTTAGTGCAAAGAAGTTTCCTGAAGTAGTTGGTTATAATGTCTCCTGTCTTGACCTCAAAGATGGCATGGACTGTGCAGTTTGTTTATCTGAGATGCACTTATTAACTTCTATGGCTAATTGTGGCTTGGGTTCGGGTCCTGCCAAAGCCTGAATTTTTTTTTTCAAAAATGACATTAGCTTCCAGATTGACCCAGTCTTGAGTGGGAACCAGGTATAATCCAGGGAAGTAAAGGTGGCTGGCGTGAGACACCACAGAATAAGCCAGGTGATAAAACTGCTTTATATTGATTGTATGCTCATTATTCACAAGGAAAAAATTGTTCCGAATGGAGAAGAGAATGAAATCAGTTGATATCAATAAAATGTATTGACCAAAGTATCTGTCTAGTAATATGCTCTGTGCTGGGCATTTTTTTGGGTTCTTAATATTCATTCCTAGCACATAAACTATGAGGAGCTGCCAGAATTGTTAGCATTTTTTATCCATTAGGAAAAAATGATCTAAAAACAAAACTCGCATTCTGCATGTAGTTATAAAACTCCAAGTGTGAGTTCCTGTGCAGTTTTGTGTGTGGAAAAAAATCATAGCTTTTCATCCATTAGGATAAAAGATCTAAAAGAAAATTGGCATGTTACATGTGGTTATAAAACTCCCAGTGTGAGTTCCAGGGCTCCATTTTTTGGGGGAACAAAATAAACAGATGCATTACCCACTAAAATCCATGTCGTAAAAGTCAACCGTTTTGGATGTTTCCTTCTTCTACCTGAGAGATGAGGAACCAGCAGTCTGTGTACAGAAGAAGCCAGCTCTGTTAAATGAATGTCCACTCACAACTCAGGTTCTGGAGCAAGACCTGAGTTTATAGCTGGTAAACAGTAAGAAGAAGAAGGAGAAGAAATGCTTGCGCTGCCAGTTTAGGTTCAGGGACAGATCTTTGTGAGTGAAAAGAATTGACCAACTGGTAGTCTGGTAGTCTTAGTTTCAGCTTCATAGCAAACGGGTCACCCCATCTTTGCTCCGCTCTTGTGCCAGCGAAAAACACACAGAATGTTTATCACAGTATTAGAATTGCAGTTCATCATTGATGGTAGCAGAAGTCGCCAACAAATCAGCAGTTGCCCACGCGATCAATTTTAATCACATACGGGCACCACAACACTGCATGACAGGCATCGCACCATTTTCTGAATCTACAATTCACACCAACACGTTGGTCATAGTAAAAAAAAACATTCCAAATGCAATCCGCAGCTCACAGGGTCACGCCATGCATTCAACTCAGAAGCTGGGCGAAGAAACTATATCCAGTCTACAAATGGAGCAAAAATGCAGCGGCCACCGTCAGGCAGAAGCAATAAAATGTGCCTCTGTTTCGAACAGTGCTGCTGCCTAACGTCCATTTTGACCGGAAGTCAATTGACCAACTACTCAAGCATATTGTCAGTGGCAACTAATGAGGGTTTTGCTGAAATCACATGTGTTGTGAAAGAGGAGCAGTTGGCCAAGTGGTTAGAGCGCTGGATTTTCA